GACCGCAGCCGTCGCAGCCTCGGGCAGAGTTTGCGCTCCTGCTTTGCGCCGGGGGCGCCGAAGACGGGCGGGCGATGCCCGCGGCGTGAAAGCGCCCGCGGCGGGCGCTGACCTCTGCCCTGGTCTCTCGCCCCCTCCCGCACCCACCCCCCCACCCGCCCCGTGCCCTTGTGACCCTGGCTTTGGCGCCGCCGACCAGGCGCCCCGCGATGTAGCTGCCCCCGCTCCTCGGCGGGAGGCGTCCTGGCCCGCGGGCGCCCGGGGCCCGGAGCCCGGCCTGGGGGCACAGCCGAGCTCGGGCGGGGCCGGGGCCGCGGTGGCTATGCACCGGGCCCGTTAGCGCGGGGAGCGCCAGGCAGCTGAGGCGGGGGGCAAGCCCTCCCGCGGAGGAGCCGCGCCCCCGGCCCCGCCGGTCCCGCCGCGATGCTGTTCCACAGTCTGTCGGGCCCCGAGGTGCACGGGGTCATCGACGAGATGGACCGCAGGGCCAAGAGCGAGGCTCCCGCCATCAGCTCCGCCATCGACCGCGGCGACACGGAGACGGTAGGCGCACAGCTGCGGGGTCGGGGCCAAAAGCTGGGACGGGACCGGCTCGGTCTGCACCTCGCTCTCCTAAGTTTGGGGGCAATTTGGGGAGCGTCCTTCGTGCCGCACGGGACTGGACGCTGGGGCTCCGCGGACAGGATGCAAGGCCCGTAGCTCCCGGCTCAGGGGAAACCCGGCTGCTGGCGGAGGAGGGAAACAAGGTTGAAACCGAAATTTCAGACGCTGAGGGTGGAAGAGAGCATTTCTCCCGAAGTGGGGGCGAAGTCCTACCCGCGGCCCGATGGCTCTCTTCTCACTTCAACGGGCTTTTTGGTCGCCAGCCCTGCGCTCTCCTCCACCACTCGGCTCTGGCTGCTGGCGGCGCCGCCTGCGGCGCGGGGAAGGCGAACAAACCGGCAGCACTGGGGCTCCAGCCGACTTGGGCCTCTCCCCGCCTCCTGGCAATCGGGGTTCCCGTCCCAGCGCAGTTTCAGGGGTCGAAGTCTTCTAGGCTAGGGCTTTTCGTTGTTCGCATCTTGGGCCTCCTGGCTGGCCCGACTTGGCTCGGTTAGGGCCGGGAGTTCAGGCTCTGGCCTGGCTCTTGTGGAAGGAGAGTCCGTTCGGATCTCCACACCTGGCTCCACCAGCCCAGCCCCAAATAGCCAGTTCCTTGCCTCAGACCTCCCTGGGGGCCCGATGAGCAGACGCTGCCCAAGCCGGGCCCAGAAGTGACCTTTAGAGGCCAAGGAGGTGGGGAGCACGAGCGAAGCTTCTCTGCTTGGAAAGCAAGAGCAGCAGCCCCAGTGCCTCTGCTTCTGAGCTCTTCTTCCCCAGTTAAACCCTCTCAGCCTGTCAGTTTGGTTAGGAGAGGATTTGGATTGGGCCTATCCTGCGCTCAGAGACTTTGAGGGTGCCCATGCACCCCACTCACCATCTCCCAGGACCCAAGAGGGCCCCAGACAATGTGGCAGAGGTAGTGGAGGGGCAGAGGTTGCCCCGCGATTTGCCCTGGCCTGAACCTTCGGCTTAAGGATCCAGAGATCACTGGGATTAGGGGCCAGGAGCTCCACCGAGTCTCTGGAGAGGAGTCTGTGTGGAGGGTGACTTTTAGGTCATCTTACCCCTTTTCCTGGGACCCAGCAGAGTGGGTCCTTTAAGAAACAGTTTGGGGGAAGCTTTTGGAGGGCTTGGCTGAAGTAGCCACTGCTGCCCCGAGTCCCCAAACACAGCATGAGCCTTTCTGGGAAAAGAGCAGAGGGGACAGGAAAGGGGAGAAGTAAGGAGGAAGATCTATCCAGGCCAGCAGCCGGTCCTGGGCCTGTGGCCGGCTTGGGCTGCATGGGCGGGCCTGGGTCCTGAGCCCCCTGGATATGGGCCTTTTGGGGTGCAGGAAGAGCACCGCACACCCTGGCAGGCACCCCACCCCCACCCCCGCGTTTAGGGCTAGCTGGAGCCTCGGAGGGAGCTGCAGGTGCCCGGTTCCCCGCGGCGTGGCAGCGGGGTCGCAGGCTGACGCAGGCGCTGCGGACTCGCGCCTCCCTCCCTCCGCAGACCATGCCGTCCATCAGCAGTGACCGCGCTGCGCTCTGCGCCGGCTGCGGGGGCAAGATCTCCGACCGCTACTACCTGCTGGCGGTGGACAAACAGTGGCACATGCGCTGCCTCAAGTGCTGCGAGTGCAAGCTCAACCTGGAGTCGGAGCTCACCTGTTTCAGCAAGGATGGAAGCATCTACTGCAAGGAAGACTACTACAGGTAGCCCCCACCTCGGGACCCACTGCCCTGGGCACCCAGGACCCCTCATCTCAGATGCAATCTTCTCTGGTTGCCTTCCCTCCAGTCCCAAGGGAGGGTTCCCTACCTAGGTCCTCCCTTCTCCAAGCCAGTACAAATTGGATGACATCCTTTTTAAACAGCAATTTGAGGGAAATCTTGGAAAGATCTGCAAAGTGTAGGGACCCAGAGAAAAGCAGAAAGTGTCCTCTTCTTAGCTTAGACCAAAAATAAGCTCGAGTTGGGGGTCCTTGCACCCTTCTCCCTTTGAAGTTTCTTGGGTCAACTAGAGGGAACAGAAAAAGGCCCCCCCCCCCACCGCCAAACCCAGGCAGTCTAGGCTGGTGTGGAACAAAGTTGGAGGGAGAGCTGGGGGATTGGATTGGGTGCATTTCCGGGTCTTTCCTGGAGATGGGAGTGAAAACTGGCCAGGACTGAAGAACGGGAATCACTAACAGACTCCAGGTTCCTTGGTTCTCCTCTCTGGGTTTAGGGTTAGGTCTGCTTATTCTCTCTCCCTCTTTCTTTCTTTCTTCCTCTCCCTTTCTCTCTGTCTGTCTGTCTGTCTCTCTCTCTCCGTCTCTGTGTTTCTTACAAATTACAAACATCTGTAGGATGCCCAGGCACTGCTGTGGAGGTTGAGGAAGGGGTAACTGGGAAATTCCCCTTACTCCCGAGCAAAGGCTTTCCTAGGGCTTGCTCAGACTCTGGGTAAAGTCTTTGTAGGCATGAAAATGTTTAAGGGAAACTATATTTCAGGATAGGACCAGACCTGGGCCAAAATCTAGTTCCATCTTCCCCCCATCCTCCAAGTTAAGACCTGGTTGCCAGTCTTGAGGAGTGGAGTTCCGCCAGTGGCAGCAATGGCACTTGGAGGAGGGATATGGGGGGGTACCCAACCGTGTGTCCCCACAGTCCCTCCCTCGATGGTCCCTACAGGCGGTTCTCTGTGCAGCGCTGCGCCCGCTGCCACCTAGGCATCTCGGCCTCGGAGATGGTGATGCGAGCTCGGGACTTGGTTTATCACCTCAACTGCTTCACGTGCACTACGTGTAACAAGATGCTGACCACGGGAGACCACTTCGGCATGAAGGACAGCCTGGTCTACTGCCGCTTGCACTTCGAGGCGCTGCTGCAGGGCGAGTACACCGCGCACTTCAACCACGCGGATGTGGCAGCCGCAGCGGCGGCAGCTGCCGCGGCCAAGAGCGCGGGGTTGGGTGCAGCCGGGGCCAACCCTCTGGGTCTTCCCTACTACAATGGCGTGGGCACGGTGCAGAAGGGGCGGCCGAGAAAGCGCAAGAGCCCCGGGCCCGGGGCGGACCTGGCGGCCTACAACGCTGGTGAGTGCGAGGCGCCCCGAGCGCCCCGACGGGTTGAGGGAAAGTGCACTGCGTCAGTGGCCAAGAGCCGAGTGAATTTCAGTGTCTTATACATGTATACTTATAGCACTCTGGGTACTCCAGCCTTTAGCTTCCCCAGGCCCACCGGACGACCTGGCAGAAGGGACATTAGCTCCCTGGGCTCCAGCCCTTGCGCTCTCGGCTGGAGCGGGAGGAGAGGGTGTATTAATGGTCCTGATGCTCTGGGTGCAGGACCATGTCGCTGAGAAATTTTTTAGAAACAGCTTTTTGGTTTGGGCCTTTTACCCACTTTGCTGTGCAGAAAGTGCAAGGATAGGGAAAACAAGGCAGAGCCGACACCAAACAGGCTCTAGGTTGGCGTGGCTGAGGGAGAGGATCTGGGGCGATGGATGAGCGAAGCAGAGTGGCGGGGGTCCCAAGAGAAAGCACTGGCTGTGGCCTCGGGCACCGAGCTTGGCCTGGCCTGCAGCCGGGGTCACGCGAAGTGTCCTGAGTGCGGCAGGCTAGGGAAACTTGGGCCCAGGAGCCTTTGAGAAAAAGTGGGTCGTAGTGTCCCACCCAGTCCTCCTGCTCTGCCAGGTCTCGGTTTCCCCCGGGGGCTCTTCCTCCAAGTTCCGGGTGACAGCGGGGCGCTGGGATGAGAGCCGCGACCCTCCAAAGTCGGCGCCCCGGGTTGGGACCCAGTAGGCCTGGCCTTGCGCCGGGGTAGGGTGAAGGACTTGTTTCGCATTTCCGGCATCTTTGAACCCCGGGTTGTTCCGGGAGAGGCTCTGCCCCCTCCCGCCCGGCAAATTGAACCATTAACATCTGCCCGAAGTCTGCAAGGCCGGGAAAGGTTTATGACTCCCTGGGCTCCTGAACTTGATAGAGTTTATTTGCAATTACTTTCTTTATTTCGTCTGCGACAGAATTGGATTCGGAGACTTTGTTTTCTTTCTCCTTTTCCCCTTAGTCCAATGCACAAGTGGAAACAAAACAAAACAAAAACCCTGAACTGTGCGGAGGGCTGTGGTGGGGAAGAAGTCAGGATTATTTTGATTTTTAAAAATCTGAGCTGGCTCGGGGCGGGGAGGGGGGCGGGGGGTGGGATGGGAGGTGGGTGGGGATCCCCTGTTCGCTCCAACGAAGTTGCTTGTTGGGTGATCGTGGGGCATGTGTGTCTTGGTGTGCGGAGCTGGAAGGAAAATACAGCCCCCAGTCTGGTAAATGGTGAGGGGGCTGCGGCCAGGTCTGTGAGGCGGATTTAATATTTGTTGAAGGCTCTACCAGAGATGCGGCTCTCCAAAACTTCCATCCCTCGTCACCCACCACCCTGAATAGACCACACGGAGTCCAGATCAGGTCCCCCAAAACAAAGCCGGTCTATTTATCAAGTGGGGTCGGCCTCCAGTAGGAACAGCAGGCGGGCTGGGCCACAGGGCGCGTGGTGGTTGGGAGCGGGATTATGTTTTCCCGGGCAGACAGGTTCGCAACCGGGTTTGCAACTGAAAGGTAGGAGGTACCGAGGTGTATTTGTGCTTTTTGCTGCTCCGCCGCCCTGCCTGGCGAGGCCGCGCCGCACCGAGCAAGATGTGGCTGGAGGCTGAGTTTCAGAGGAGCTGGCACCTCTACGAGACTTCCCCACGCATGCCATCTCGTCATTTTCTCTTTGGTCCCTCTCTTCCTTTTTTTTTCCTTTCGGCTCTCTAGGCGCCACTTTCTCTCTCTGCGTGCGTCTCCCGTTTCTCTGTTCCTGTCTCTTTCTCTCCCGACGCTCACGTCTCTGGCCTTGGCCCGGGCTTAACCGCGCACTGCGTGCCGCCGGTGGCTTTGCGGCTCGCTTACTCGGGGCTCCCGGGACTAGGTTGGGAAAAGGGGGAGCCTCCCTCGCCGCTCCAGCCCGGCCAGGCCTCCCCCGGTCTGGCTGCTGTCCCCCTCCCTCCCCTCCCGGCGCTGGCAGGAGAGAAATGGCCGCAGTGTGGGCCGCGGGGCCGCTGGGACTGGAAAGAGGGCCCCGTGGAGGGTGAGATTTCGGAGGTGTGTCCGGGCAAGTGTGTGTGTGTGCGTGTGTCCGTGATTCTGACTGTGAGGACTCGAGCTTGTTTGTGTGTGTCCCGCACCCAGGGGCCCAGCCACATGGACCCCCTGCAAAGCCCATCGCTGTGGGGGACAGTCTGGTGGAGGAGCGGCGGCACCTAACTACAGCGCGGTGAGCTCGGGCAGAGTGGCGAGGGGGCGCCGTCGGTGCGCCCGGCCCTTCGCTCAGGGAAGGGCATTCAGAGCGGCGGGGCCGCAGGGTCGGAAGTCCTTCCGGGGCGATGGCCGCGGCGGTCCTTCTCTGGCTGCCCCTCTGGTCCGAGAGCGCAGCCCAGGTCCCAGAGGCGGAACTGAAACCTACCCCACCCCAGAGCGTGGCTACCCGCCGGCCGGGGTCGCGGACAAGGCTGCCGGAGCCCGTGAGGGGCCCGGGCCGCACGCTTTGCGCCCGGGCTTGCGCGCCGCGGCCACGGAGTCCCGCGCGGACCGGCCGGATGCCCGGGCCTCCCCCAGCCCCAGCTTTCTGTGTGTGTGTGTGCCTGGCGGCGTAATTACTGATTTGATTCCAATCCATTATTTAGACAATTGAACCTACAATCTAGTCTTTAGTAAAATGAGGCGAAGTCAGATTTGATTACAGGTTCAGTCCCAGCGACAAGAGCTCGAAACCCGATGGGTTAATAACAGATCACGAGTAAATTATTCATGATTTTACGAGCTCTTTAGCTCCATTGAATCGGCCTAATTGAGAGGAAAAAAAAAAAGGAGAGAGAAAGCTTGGTCCTCCCCCTCCCCTCATCCCCTTGCTCCTCCCTGGACCCAATTCTGGGGAACCACGATCCTTCTGGGGAGCTGGGGGCGAGAGTGCGGGGCCTGGGGCACCGACCAAATCTGGGCTCAACAGCCTCTTTGCCCCCAGCGCAGCCCCCTGCCCCAACCGCTGGCCGGCCTCGGCCTCCCTGCCTTGGGCCGACTCCTTTTCTGCCCTCCTCTCCTTTTCTCCCTTTCCCCTTTTCACCACTCCCCAGCCTGTAACAGCTTCGAAAAAGCCACCCCGCAGGGACCCAGTCTCCCTGAGACCTGGGATTCAGTTCCTTGGCCTGGACCCTCCACCACACAACATCCCTACTATTTCCGGGCCTTGCTGTCCCCTCAGGCTCTCTCTGTGTCTCTCCTGGTTTCTTTCTGTCTTTGTAGCTGTCTCTCTCTGGTTCTCTCCATATCCACTGCTTTCTTTTCCTCTGCTCTTCTCTCTTTTTTCCTGGCTCTGTCCATTTTCCCTCCCTACCATCTCTCCTTTTCTCTCCATTCTCTCTGTCTTTCTACATCTGTCCCTTTCTCTGCCCTTTCTTTCTCCCTCCCCCAACCACCTCCCCCCATCTAGGCCTCACTCAGGGCACGTCCCTTGGGTTCGTGGGGCGCCAGGGTCCCCATGGAGCTCATTAACAGCAGCAAGGCCCAGGCAGGGGCTGGGCGGAGGAATGGGCCCAGAGATCCCCTGTGGGGAGGCCTGCCCCCCCCCTCCCGTGGAGCTGGGGACTAGGGGCAAGAAGAGGGTTGCTCCCCACAGTGGGGGCAGGGCAGTTTCCATGGATCCCATTTGGAGTCATTCTGTGATCCCCTTTAAATTGCTGGATCCTCGTTCTTCACCCTGAGCACTCTCAGTGGGAGTAGCCTGGCTGGAGGACTTGGGTGCCTGGGTGCCTATGGGAGGAGCCCTTAGGAGGTGTAGCCACTTGCTGACAACTCCTAGGTTAGGGACAAGACCAGCATCTTGTGAAATTTTTCTGCAAGGGACCACTCCTCACTTGGACAGGGGAGGAGTAGGTCACCAGGAGAGCAGGAGTACTTCTGAGGTAGTATTGCCAGATAAAATGCAGGACTCCCAGTTAAATCTGAATTTTGGGTAAACGACAAGTAAATTTTTTTACTGTAAGTGTATCCCATACAACATTTGAATTTTAAATAAACAATGAATAATTTTTTAGTATGAGTGTATACCATGCAATATTTGAATTTTAGGCAAACAACAAAGCAGTTTTCAGTATAGGTATGTCCCATGCAATATTTGAGACATCATACTAAAAAATTTTTTATTGTTTATCTGAAATTCAAATTTAACTGGACAATCTGTATTTTTATTTGCTAAATCTGCAGCTCTATTATGGGCATGTGATGAGACAGGAGATATATTCCCAGTTGCCCACTTTAGGGGGAATGAATTAATCTCTTATGAGGCATTCCCCAAAGTAAGACCTTATGTGTGGAATGGCTCAGGATGTATTGAGGGGATCTTGGAGAGGGGTCCTGCGTGTCCCCATCAGCCACCAGGTTGCTAAGCAACTTTCTGAGGCCCAAGTTTTCCATCCCTGTCCCCCACCCCAGTGCCTTCTAGGCATTGACAGGCCCAGCTGGGCCCCTTCTGGATGGGGACGGGCTCCCCAAAGAGTCATGCTTCATCTTTGCCTGCCTTTATGGTGTAGGGGAAAGAAACAGCAAGGAGGCAAGCACTGCAGTGTTGAATCTAGGCTCAGCCATAACCAATGGTGTGGCTTTATTTTCCTTAGCATTAGTTTCCTCATCTCTAAAATGGGGTGAGTAGCAGTAGCCACCCCTTGGAGCAGTAGTGAAGCCCCCCTCCCCCCATGTATGTAGAGCCAAAGGCATACCCTGGGTGTGGCATACATGTTAATATTTTCCTCCAGCTTCCTTCCCTTTTGGTTAGAACTCTGCCACTCCATGAGATTTCCAAAGATAGCTTAACCTCCCTGCCTCATTCACCTCATTTGTCAAACTGGGAAACAACTGCCTCATAGGGCAGTGGTGAGGATTAAGCTACAAAATACAATTTCCAACCTTCGACCCAGTGCCTGTGGCCCAGGGCTAAGGGATCGTGCAGTACCTTTGGTTGTAGGAACTGATGAGGGAGAACTGAAAGTGAGTGGAGAGTATGGAAAGTGAGTTGAAGCCTGTGACTTCCAGGTGCCTGCCCCAGACACTGTGTGGGGGGAAGGGGCAGGGGAGACTGGAGACTGCATTCCTCCTTAGGGAGTGCAGGGAGAAACGGGGAGATCATGGGCCTGCGTCTGCAGTCAAGTGACTTCCCTTTCGGAGCCTCAGTTTCAATATCTGTAAAAAGGGGGAAATAATGCTTGGCTCAAAGGGTTGTTTTGAGGATGAAAATGTGCACGTAAAGCCCTTTAGCACATCTTGTGGAGTTGAATGTCATTGACAAGTTGTAGCTGTTGTTATTATTACTATTATCATTGTAACATGATGGCTCAGAATGGTTTTTGGATTCTCCTAGAGCTGGGTTTGAATCCAGCATTTCCTAGCTGAATGACCCTGGGTAGATGGCTCTCTCAACCTCAAACTCCCCTATAAGTCTATAAAATGGGATAATACCTCCACCTCACCGGGGTGCAGCACCCACCGTGTGGTTCTGAGGCTAGAAACATTTGGCGAAGCGTGGGGTGGGTGTGGACTTGGCAGTGTTGTGGGGGTCCGGACCAGAAGGTTCACCTGCTGCCTCTGCGTTCCTTCCCCAGCCCTGAGCTGCAACGAGAACGATGCGGAGCACCTGGACCGCGACCAGCCGTACCCGAGCAGCCAGAAGACGAAGCGCATGCGCACCTCCTTCAAGCACCACCAGCTTCGGACCATGAAGTCTTACTTTGCCATTAACCACAACCCCGACGCCAAGGACTTGAAGCAGCTTGCGCAAAAGACGGGCCTCACCAAGCGGGTCCTCCAGGTCAGCCAGGCCGGGGCTAGGGGTGGGGGCATCTGTGGCGTCAGGACCTGGGGTGGAATCCCACAGTGGCCGTGGGCCTTGGAAGGACCTTCCGCTCTACGTCCGCCTATCTCTTTATCTTTCTCTGTTCTCTTTCTCCATCTCTTCAGTCTATCTCTAGCTGTATTTCAATCTTTTTTTTTTCCATTCTAACTTTGTCTTCTCTCCTTCAAGTTTTGTCCCTCAGTGTTTCTGTTTTGTGTCTGTGTGTCCCTCTGTCTTCTTTGTCTACACACTCAGTCTCTTTTCTTTCTTGTAAGCAATTCTTAGTTGCTATTTATTACCCAAGTGACACTCAAATATGCTCATGTTGTAAAAGGTTCAAGCATTTCAGTTAAACCAGAGCTTCCCCCCACATCCCCACCGGCAACCTTGGCCCCTTAAACCAGGATGCCCGTCCAAGGCACCTGCTGTTAGCCATTTGCTCTTTCTGCTTCTTGTTCCTCACTTACTCTCTCTAGTTTCTCTCTCTCTCCCTCTCTCTCTCTCTTTCCTGTCTCTCTCTAGATTTACCTTCTGTTTCTTTGTTGCTTCTCAGACTCTCCCAGAAGCAAGGTTTGTAAGGGAGAGGGATTAGGGCAGATCCCCTGGGTGGAAGTAGATGGGTGCCTCTGAAAACAAGCAGCATTGCACTTGTATGTGAGGGTGCTTTCTTGATAGAGAGGATCCAGAGCTTTCACCAGATACCCTAAGGGTCTGTCCACCACCCCCAAAATGTTAAGAACCCCATTTGGGGATACAGGTATCCCAGCTGCCTGTATGACCCAAACTTGTGGCAGAGCCTTGGGTCACCACTTTTTAAATCTTCAGCTCCTCCTCTTACTCGTTTCATGGTCCTGGGCAAGTCACCCAACTCCTCTGAGCCTCAGTTTCCTTGTATGTGAAATGGGCACAAGAAATTACACTGAAGGCTTATTGGAGGAGCAATTGAGATAATGTAAGTGCCCATCACAGTAGCTGACAACCGCTCAGTGGATGGTAGCTAGGATAACATTAACTAGAATAATCAGTTAACTGATATTAACTAGTATAAACAATTATTTTGGTGGCTGGACTTCAGTTTCCATATCTGTACAATGATAAGGTGGGAGAATATCTCCCTTTATAGCTAGTTTAACCAATTTATTCCTCAGAACGTGTGACTGTAGGGATAACAATGCACATTTTTGGGTAAGAAAATCGAGAGATGAAGTGAGTTGACTATGGTCCCACAGCAGGAGGAGTGGTGCTGGACTCTGAGGGCAGGCCAGTCCGACCGACCCCCTAGCCCTAAGTCTTTGAGGACTGAGGGCCCGGGGGTGGGTGACGACACCGAGTGGGTGAGGGTGATGGTGACGACACCGAAGGCTGTGAAGCCACCCTAAGCTTTCTTGCGAGTCTGTTAGAACTTTTAAGAAAGCATTTTGGAGGTGACGTTGGTGGCGGGATGGGACTGTGACGCGGGCGAGGGTCCGCAGATCTCCGGGAAGCCTGGATTCCAGGCGCCCAGGCCCCCGGCTGCCAGCCAGGTGCACCGCGACGGGTCTGGCGCAGCTTGGTCTCGCGCGGTCTCAGTGACGTAGCGGAGGGAGCTGAGGACCCGCCAATGAGACGCCGATGCGCCTCTCTGGGCCCGCCCCCCGCCCTGGAGCTCCCCGCAGGCCCCGCCCCTCCTGTTTGGGATCCGTTTTGCCCAAGGTCCCTCTGACCAGGGCTCTAGAAGAGGCGGCCCCTTGGGGTCTCAGATCCCGCTGGTCCGTTTTCCTCCGACTTTTCCTTTTGGGGATTAGGTCGGGCGACTCTTCTTGGCGCCCCCTCTGTTCCTCAGCCCTGGGCGAATTTGGACGCAGGATCTGTGGTTGCTGCCTTTTCTCTGGTTAGTAGTCCTTCCTCTCTCTAGATGCCCTTATGGTGAGTTGGTGGGGGAAAAGGGATCCGTGAAAAAAGCCCTAAGAGCAGGCAGGGGCAGGAACAGGGACTTGAAGTCAGGCAGAGCTGGGTTCCGTTCTGCCCGTCTACTCGCTGGCAGTGTGTCTTGCACAAATTAGTTACCCTCTCTGAGCCATAGCTTTCTCATCTGTCAAATGGGCACCATTAAGGCACATACCTCGCCAATTATCCAGATTAAGTGAAATAAAGAGTAAATGTCCATGGTTGGGTCTGAATCTGGAGTGGGGAGCTGATCTCTGCTGGCCTTGGTAAGGCAGGAAGCTTGATTTAGGAACACATTGGATTTCCAGCATAGTTATCTCTCATTCTTTCATCTGACCAAATAGCTATTGGCACCAGGCCCTGGGGACACAGAGGTGAATGAACCACAGTCCTGGCCCTGAAGAAGTTCACCTATTAGGTGTCGAGACAGACCCACAATCAGTTTCCCCATAGTGTGATCAGTCGGGAGGGAGTTTCTATGGGAGACCAGGGGAGGGACCAATTACCTACCCTGTATGTGAGGAAGGGTTCATCTGTGTGACCTGGGTCTAGACTTGCTCTTCCTCCCCTAGAATCCTGAGCCAGGGCTGTTCACACCTGCATGCCCTCTCCACCATGGGGACTCAGAAAAGCCAGGGCATGGGACTAGTTGAGAGAGAGAATCACTGATAGAAGCACTAATCAATAAATGTTTGAGCGCTCTACTATGTGTCTACTATGTGTTGAAAGACTCATGAAGTACACTTGCTCATTGAGTCCTCACTATCAGGCATCATGATCCCTTCTCCTCCACTGTACAGATGAGAGAACATTGAGGCCCAAATGATTTCCACTTGCCCCAAGTCACACTTTGCTGCTAGGTAGCAGAGCTGGATCCACATCCAGGCGCGTCTGATCAGTGGGCATTGCCCTTTCTCCTCTAAGCCAACCCAGCAGTGACAGCCTCTGAGTGTGAGTATCGTTTATGGCCTGTACGTTGTTGGGGTGAGGGCAGTCATACCCACAGGACACATCAGACCCCTGTTCTCCCTCCTCCCAGACCTCCCAATCTCCTGCACAAATGCTTAGTATTCCCTAACAGCACAGCAGCTCGTGACTATGCAGCAGTTTGCAAAGCCTTGTCTTTCCAGCCACTCGTCTTCCTTACCTTAATATTTTCCTGCCCATTTTACAGATGAGAAGCTTAAGAACTAGTGAGGTGAAGTGATTTACTTGAGGACACAGGAGCCAGGCATTGACAGGGTGGGGCTCTCTCCCAGGTGTTCTGACTACTGATGGGCCAGCTGGGGGAGATGGGATGGGGGCAGTTTGGGGCGAGGCAGCTGGTGGTGTGGCTTTGGAAGGTAACATATAGATTAAAGTCCTTTCTGACATAACAACAATGTGATTTGGGCACTTTAACTTCTCCTCTCAGAGCCCAATTCCTTGTCTTTGAAGTGGAGATAATAATAGCTTGTACCTTGAGGATTCCTGAGGATTGAGACAATGAATGGGAAGGCTCCAGCATGGTGCCTGCTGGTACAAAGTAGACAAAGTAGGTGCCCATGAAATGGCTTCTCATCACTGGCTACACAAGCTTAATTGTGCTAGGCCTTGGGTGCCCCCTGCAGGTTGTGGTCCACCTCGACCCTGTGGAGAGAGCCTGCAGGGCAGGGCAGGTTGAGGTTGAGGCTGTGTTCCCAGAAGTGGATGATGTAGGGCGTGTGTGTGTGTGTGTGTGTGTGTGTGTGTGTGTGTGTGTGTCTGTGTGTGTGTCTGTGTGTGTGTGTGTGTGTAGGGATTCTAGGCTGTTACTGAATCTGTAATGCATAAGCATCAACATGGCAGGCCCGGGATGCAGTATCCCTGCTGGAATTTGGAGCTGATACAAGGTCCAGACTCAGCCCTCCCACTTACTCTCTGAATGGTTATGAGTGAGTGACTTAACCTCTCTAAGCTTCAGCTATAAAATGAGGATGATAACAGTGCTTCACTAGGTGGTTGCAAGGAGTAAATAAGATGACATAAAGTGTAATTTATAAAGTATATATGAGGGACTCAAAAATATTAACTTCATACACATTCACCTAGTAAGGCTCAGTCTACCATCCCCTTCTGCACACATTTAAAAATTTTAATTATCTTCATTTTGCAGATGAGGAAACTGAGGTTCAGAGAGGCTAAAACCCTTGCACTGAGTCTCACAGCTAATAAGTGATGGGAGGGGCCAAGCCCAGATTGGTTTGATTCCACAGCTCTTTCCAATATGGCACAGTGTAGGGATTGTGATTCTCAGCACCCCCTCCCCTTGGATGTAGCTGCCGAATGCAGCAGGACAGATGGGGGACAAGGGGAGGAGTGAGTCATAGATGCCATGTCTTGGTAGGAAAGCAGGAATTCTGTTGTAAAGCCCTAGGGGTGTAAAAAGTGCTCAGAATTGTCACCAGCAGCAGCAGCATGACAATCACAGTACTCACTTGTCGCCAGTGGGCAAGGTGACCGGGAGACAGAATGGCTCCTTGGACCGAAGTCCATTAAGACATTAAGCTTTACCAGTTCTTGGAGAGCATTGCTCAGCACATCCATGCGCCTCTGCATTGCCTCTCTTCCTTCCTGGGGAAGGATTAGGAAGGCAGAATATTAAGGTGCCCTAGGCTGGGGAAGGGGCTGGTGAGCTGATGGATTTGGATGGGTGAACGTCTCCTTAGGGGTTCCCAGTGTGACTTTGAAGGAAAATACATTTTAACAACCAGCAGTTTAAAAGCATTCTTCAGATGACCAGTTAGTCATCATTAACCTATGTGAGAACTCAAGAACTGAGGACACTAGCTTTCCTCCATTCGCTCACTTCAGCAAATACACTGACCTGCCGTGTTCTGGGGGGGGCATGAGGTACTGAGGATTCAGTGATGACCCTGGCAATGAACAGGCGCGCGGCTGGAATGTACAGTCCACAGGGGAGACTATGTCCAGCAAGGTACTGTATAAATAATTAAAATGGTGATAAGATTGACCCCTATATTTTTCTGTATATTTGAAATATCTCATAGTAAAAATATCTTTAAATGATTCCAGGGCCAAATAAGTTTGGGAAATGCCAAAGATTGACTGCATCCTTCTCTTAGAGATCAGAGCACACTGGCATTAATACAGGCATTGAGAAATCTTGAAGAGATTCAACTTTGTCTAGTCCAACATTTCCCAAGTGTATTTGGCCACAGAACCCTTATTTAATTCTTGACAAAAATAAAATAGAAGAAGTGCTAGGGTGGAAAAATATAGGGGTGCAACGAGAGCATAAACACGGGGACCTGACCTGGGGAGGGAGGTGGTCAGGAGTGGCTTCCCTGAGGAGGTGAGGTTTAAACTAGGACTTCAGTTCATTGAGCCTCAGCTTCCCCACCTGTAAAATGGGGAGAGTGAGCATTGTTCTGCATGTCATTTGCACAGGGCTGTACAGAGTGTTTGATCTAGTCACGGATGGTTGAAGTTGGACGGAATTTCATAGGTGATTTGGCCCAAATCTCTCCGTTTAGAAGAGAGGAAACTGAAGCCCAGAGAGGTGGAGTGACTTGTTCAAGGCCCCAGAGCAAAGTAGTTGTAGCCCTGGAACTGGACCTAAGGGGTCCTGATATCCAGTCCACTGCTCATTATTTTTTATTCTTTAAAGAAAACTTTCTTTAAAGTTTATAAAATAATAGAACCACCATACAGGCAGGTTAGAAAACTAGGGGCGAAAGTTACCCATATGAAGACACAGGAAACCAGTAATCCAGGTGTGCAGTTTGGAAGTTAAGTAGTGGGTAGGGGCGTGGGCCCAGCTTGCTGGGATGCACATCTCATCTCTGCGTCTTTGGCTGGGCTCTGGGCCTCAGTCTCCTCACCTGATGATAATATCAGTGCTGACCTTGTAAGGCACTAACAGGAGTTCATATGTGTAAAATCCTTAGAACTTTGCTTAGACGTTGCCTTCTGAGTGAATAATATTCGTCGTTATTATTTGCCTTATGAAGTTGCAATACCAGAGGATGTCATTTTGTTATCCTTTTTTTTCTCACATAACATTCGTCACAAGACATTTCCTCTGCGACTGCGTGGAGTGGCTGTGTGGTGACTTCCACTTGTCCCATCTGGTCAGATGCTTTGGTTGCAGCCATTGGTTTTGATGTCATAAAAAGAAACCGCCAGTGGACATTTTTGGTCTTGAAGCGTTGGTATTTTGGCTGGTTTCCTTAGTGGCCCTGGAGGGGATCTGTGGGGCAGAGTGGGTTTCCCACTGACCCTCCTGGTCTCCTTGATGAAAGAATCCTGGGGAAGGGGATTTGCGAGGCAAAGCTCAGCCTTCAGGGCCAGGGGGTGTCTGAGGAGGAGCCATGTAACCATGTGGGCTTCCTCCTCCACCCAGGACCTACTGGGGATCCCCTGGGCACCTGACTGAGGCACTCCCTGGAGATGAAGAGAGAGGGCTGTCAGTTCAAGAAGATGGGTGGGTAGAGCAGATCATCTTCCTTGTTGCGGCTGCCAGAGAATCGCAGCCTGTCAGCACTCCAAGAGGCCATAGAGATCATATGGTGTGGTCCAACTCCCTTGTTGTACAGGTGGGGAAACTGAGGCAGACCCAGAGGTAAGGGACTAGCAGGGGTCACTTGATTGGTCAGTGGCAGAACCAGAGCTGGAAGCTACAGCCTGTGCTCTTTCCACTACATCGTAGTTGCTTCTGAGTTTATTCACTCATTCATTCATTCATTCATTCACTGACTCACTCCGGATCATGTGGTAGGGAAAGCATGGACTCTTTATGGCAGATAATCCTGGATCTTACTCTCAGTTTGGCCTCTGTGTGACCTTGGGCAAGTGACTTTGCCTCTCCAAGCCTCTCTGGTTTTAAATCTATAAAGTGGGGATAATGATAGTACCTCCCTACTTGGCCTATCATGGAGATAACCTGTGAGCGTGCATGTTAGAGGATGGCTGGGTGCCCGGCATGAAGAGGTCTGTAAATGTTATCTGTTAGTATTACTATTAACTGAATGCATGTGACTGATTCTTAATCTTTGCCAGTCCCTCTGCCATAGCCCCAGGGATATAAAGATGACTTAGACAAGGTCCCTGTCCCAACAACCTCTTGGGAGGGGATTTTTTTTGAAATACCCAGGAGAATTCTGGTGAAGCCTGGCTTAAGGTGAGAAACAAACTCCACACAAACCCCCGCAGCAGCTGGCTTTTAGTTGAGTTGTTGACTTTCATCCACCAGATTCCCAGCGCCTCAGATTCGGTAAAGCAGAGAAGGCAGTTGTGGAAGATGGTGTCATTGTTTACAAACCTCTGTTAGGGGCAACGCCAGAGAAATAGCAAACAGCCAGCAACTAACTGTTCCCGCCCTTCCCAAGGGCTTGGAGCCCCGGACCGATGGGCGATGCACTGCCCCCGGGGCTTCCCGCTCCTGCTACCACTTGGAGAGTCAGGCCCACGGGACGCTCACAGGGCCACACATGCTCAGGACAGGACGGTGGCAAGAGTGTCACAGCTCCAGGCTTCCTCATCCCCAATCTGCAGTGTTACTTTGGGGAAGTTGCCTCTTCTCTCTGAGGGTGTCTGGGGGCTTTCTCCATCATTTTCTCCATCGGTCATTCTCTGGGCAGACGGACACAGAGTCCCACCTCTGTAGATTTCTGCAGGCCGGGCAGGGAAGGAGCCCCCATCACAAGAAGTGCCTATCGAGGCTGGTCTTAGAAGCACTGTACTTATTTGCAAGCCCCCAGAAGAGGTGATGGGCTTGCTTTGGGCAAAGGCCAGGGAAAATGTGCTTTCTTCCTGGAAAGATCCAGTGGGAGAGAGCTTTGTTTCCCGACTTCACAGGGTCTGCATCTCCCTCCTTACTCCAGGATTCTAAAGGCTGTGCTTTTTAATTGAGCCCAAGTTGTATCAGGCCACCAAAAAGAGGGTTTGAGGCCACAGGCCCCTGGAGCTGGGGTGGTCCCCAGGGGAGGGTGGGGCCGAGGGCTGGCCCTTCCGATCCCTGTCTGAGACACTGGGAAGACAGGAGATGCAGGTGCACCTGGAAGGACGCAGCTGGACACCCTAGAATCTGTTCAGTTCTCCAAGGCCCTCTGTTTTACCGGGAGGTTTCCGGCGAGTGTTTTCTTCACGCAAAGGGAAGGGAAGGGGCCCTGTCCTTTGGGCTTTTTTCTCTGGGAGATATAACCTCCCACCCCATCCCCCAACCCTCGTCCCCCCAGATTTTCTTGGCTTCTCCCAAAGTACTTTGAGGACCTTGGGGTACAGCGGGATCTCTCTGTGCAGTTCCGTGGGTGGGCATACTGGCTGGGGGGTGCTGTGTAGATAAGTATCGATGCTTCGTGTGTACAGGCTTGTGTGCAGTGGTGTGGGTGCGAATGTGTGCATGTGTCGGTGCTCAAGGGAAAATGAAAGCAAACCCTTATTCTCTCTCTTGGGCATTCTTTTCACACAGAGCTCAGTAACTGGGCCCCCCACCCCACCTCCCTCGTAAAGGATACTGGGACATGGCAGGTCGGGAGAGGGAATCTTTCATCGGGCAGCTCTTCCCATTCTGTCCACTCCGCCCTGAGACCTGAAACCCAGTGGTCCAGGATGCTGGCGGCTTCTCCAGCAGATAGCGGCAGGGATTAGGAGCTGCGTCTTTTTCTTCCTCATAGTAACTCTTTATTGACTGATTCCTGTGTGTTCTTTACATCGTTCCGGTATTTCCCAGACTTGCCATGAAGAACTTGAAAAATGGTACCCACAAGAATTTGTGGGATCTCTTGCCGGCTTAAAGGCGACTGCCAAAAAAACGAACCTCTCAACCATGGTGAAAAATGATCGAGATTTGGTTTGTGTGAACCTCCCAGAACAGAATAGAAATGCTATGTGAGCCACATATGTAATTTTACATTGAAAACTTTCCAGTAGCCACATTAAAAAAGCAAAAAGAAACCTGTAAAATTAATTTTAAGGATATATCCTGTTTGGCCCAATATGTCCAATATATTGTCATTTCAACGTGTAATCAAAATAAAAATTACCATCGAGATATTCTACTTCCTTCAAATCTGATGTGGTTCTCACCTATAGACCAGCCGTCTTGGGGCTAGCCACATTTCAAGTGCTGGGTGGCCACATGTGGCTAGTGGCTACAGTATTTGAGAAACTTCTAACAGAAGGGGAAACCCAGTAACAGGCAATTCGAGGAAAGGACATTTTTATTGTATTAACAATAAAAATACAAAACAAAATATTGCCAGCCCAACTTTTTAATACACAGCTCCCCCCCCCCCCCCCCCCCCCCCCCGATTCCGGCAGAACACCGATTGGCATCTCTGAGTTAAACACTCCGGAGGCATGCTCTGCCCTTCTTCTCCTCGTCCTGCCCGCCTTCCTCTGACCAGCCCTTCCCTCTCCCCGACGCAGGTCTGGTTTCAGAACGCCCGGGCCAAGTTCAGGCGCAACCTTTTACGGCAGGAAAACACTGGTGTGGACAAGTCGACGGAGGCGGCGCTGCAGACAGGGACGCCGTCGGGACCGGCCTCAGAGCTGTCCAACGCCTCGCTCAGCCCCTCCAGCACGCCCACCACCCTCACAGACTTGACTAGCCCCACCCTGCCGACTGTGACGTCCGTCTTAACTTCTGTGCCTGGCAACCTGGAGGGCCACGAGCCTCACAGCCCCTCGCAAACGACTCTTACCAACCTTTTCTAATGATTCTTGGCCCCCCGCCCCTGCCCCACAATTTCTTTAAAAAAGAAATTATCTTTAGTTGAATTCCAAGTGTATTTTAAAATAGAGGCTTTGAGCAACTAACTAACCACATTTTAGGATCTCGCCTGGAAAATGAGGAAGAAAATAACTACGCCCCTTGCAGACACAGCGGTGTGGACTGGAATTACTTGGAAGATCTACCTGCAACACAACATTTGTGTCACTGTACAGTTTTGTGGACTGAGCGAGGAAAAACAACAAATAATTTAAGTTGGCTAGAGCTTCTGTATTTTCAAAGACTGCCACGTGCCTTAGGAATACTGTTTTATCTCCATACTTTGGATGACTTGTTCATTTTTCTCTCCCTCTTTTTCTCTCTGTATATTTATGACCAGAGCAAAAATGTAAAAAAAAAAAAAAAAAAAAAAGTTTGTTACTTTGAATAGTCCTAAAAAAGAAAAAAAAAAAAGGAAAAAAATCAAACCCCCTCCAACAGTCGCTTTGTTGTTTTAGAATTTTAAGGTGGAAGTCTGTTCAAATATCAGAATTTGTAAAATCTAACCAGTAATAAAACCACTTACTGAAACTAGCTGGTACCACTGCTGTTTAGAGGTGTGCCAGATTCACGGGACTTAAGCGTCTTACTGAAGCCCAGGGATCAATTCCAAGGTCTTCCCCTATTTATAATATTTATTTATAATAATTTGTAATATTTGCAGGGACCCTCTTTTGTGCCAGACTTCGGGCTGCTTGTTGGGATCCAGAGATGAAGTGGACACAGTCCCTGCCCTTAAGGAATTTAGAGTGGAGGCAGAGACAGACAAGAGATCATCTTAGCACGTGTGCTATGTGCTAAGTGGGGAGCGTGTAAGCAAAATACCATTCATTCATGCATGTGTTCTTTCAAATACTAAATAAGCACACCCTGCTGGATCCTTTGACAAAGCTCAAAGGTCATTACACCTGCCTCTTCTCTTCTCTGGGCTGGAAGGGTATGTCAGGCAATGAGGGAGGCCTTTCCCCATGAGGAGTGAACGCTGTCACCAAAGGGCAGCATAAGCTCGAGTTTTCCTAATATAAGACACAAAATTTCAAAATCTTCCAAGAGGGCAAAACCAAATGAATTTGGTTCCTTTACTAAAGCTTCAGGTAACCTCAGAAACCCAGAGAAAAGATGCATCCAGAGAGGATGGAGGTTGAGAGCCAGGCAGAATGAGGTTGGAATCTCTACTGTTGAGCAGTGTGAGCTGAAGGAAGTCATTTCACCTCTCCAGGCCCCAGTTTCCTCAGCTGGAAGGTGACAGTCATGACCTTTATATGACAGTTGTAATGAGGGTGAAGTGAGGTGTGTTGAGGGGCCCAGCGGAGGGCCTGGCATGTAGGAGCTCAGTATATTTTATGGAATGACAAGTGACAGGTCAGGACCTTGCAGGTGGAGAGCAGGAATGTGTGTATCCAGGCACTGCCTGTCATTGCTGGATGCATCAAGCAGGTGTGACGTCTGTCCACTGAGCATCTTATGCCCCTCGTTTCTTGCCCTGAGCCCTACTGCAGAGTACTCTGTTACCAGCTTGATCGAATGCCAGCCGTCGTCTAGCAAAATGCCCCACAGTGCCCACCAATTTGAAAACCCAGAGGGAAGATCATAGCTGCTTTGAGGAGAACACAGCCAGGCAAGATTGGGCAGGGCAGCAATCCAGCCCAGGACTGTGGTCCCTCTCCCTTCCTCCTCCTGCCATCATGATTGGGACCATGTGGGGAAAGGGAGTAGGGCAGGAATGGGTTGAAAGTATGTAAAGCCTGAAGTGACTCACTTTCTGAAATGTTAAACACACACACACACACACACAAAGCACTATTGTTTCTATTGCAATTTAATGCCTGGCAAATAGTAGGAGCTCAATAAATTTTTTGTAAACTTTTATATTGATGTATAATGTGCATAAAGGGCACATTTCTGAAATGAACAGCTTGATTGCTGTTTTCCAAATGAACACACCCATGTAACCACCACCCAGATCAAGATACAGGACATTTACAGCACTCCGAAGTCTCCCTTGGGCCCCCTCCCTGTCAACCCCTCCCAAGGTAGCTCCTATTCTGACTTGTAGCACCATGGATTAGTTTTATCTGGTTTTGATTGATACATTTTTGCTGAATGAAGTCAGGATTGCCCAAGATTAACCACCTTGCCTGGGGTCAGGCAGCTAGTGGTGGAGGAGCCAGGGTTTGAACCAGGTCTGTCTCCAGATGCCAAGCTCTCAGCCTCAAGCAGACACATTCGTAGTCACACATCCAAGCATGTGGGTTAAGAGCCTCAACTTTTCTATCTGTCAAATAGGGTAACAGAATCTACACCTCCTTGATGACTAGGTAAGAGAATGCAAGCAGAGGGCCTGGCCCGTGGACAGCCACACAGATACAGCCCGACTCCAGGTACTCCCAGGGACCCACAGACACAGGCACACTCTTGAGGCTCTAATGGATGGATAGACCCACAGGCTAATATGCTCACACTCAGACAGCCCCACACAAAGACGCACGTGCACAAATCTAGCAGATAGACATAAACAGGCCCAGACGCTCACAGACACCCAGAGCACCCCACACAGGGAGACCCGCGTACAAACCCAGATTGCACACGTGCAAACATTTGCAGGCACCCAGATGCCCCCACATAACCCGGCTGTGCTCCTTGCTCAGGCCTGGACAGACCTGAGTCCGATCCCTATCTTGTCTGTCAGCACTGCCACCCAGAGGGAGCAGGCCCTGGAATGATGCCCAGGGGTCCCCTGCCCTCTACACGGGAGCAACTTTGGAAGCAGGGCCTGCTGTTGGGCCAGGGATGGGGGGTGCTGTGGAGAAGGCACTGCTCTCCCCTGAGTCCAGACTGAGAGCACCACACACAGAGTGAGACACTCAGGGAGAGTGACGGAGACGGGGAGATGGGGAGAGAGGCAGAGAAAGAGTGAGACACAGAGGCAGAAAGGGACAATGACAAAGATGTGCACAGACACAGAGACAGAGGGAGATGACAATGGGGAAAAAGATACAGGGCAGAGAGGCGGATCCGCAGTGGACTGGGAAAGAGAGATGGAAAGAGAGAGAACAGCCACAGAGCAGTGAAGAGGCAGAGAGACAAGAGACAGGGATCCAGGTTAAGAGACAGAGTCAAAGTCACAGGTGGAGAGATGACAAGATGGAGAGAAAAGCCGATGGAGATTGAGAAGACTCAGAGAGAAAGGGAGATCCTGGGACAGACTCAGAGGCTGACAGAGACCTTGACAGAGACAGAGCGAGAGGAATAGAGATGGTCGTTTTGAACTGGTGAAGAGTGACACTCAGAGAGAGAGAAGGTGGCACCAAAAGGACAGCAGAAATAAACAGAGACTCAGACTGGAAAGCAGGCGCTCGGTGGGGCAGGGGATGAGGCTGGGCTTAGGCTGCCAGCCCAGCGCTGTCCCCTGGTGATGGGAGGGAGGGAGAAGACGCTGTCATCACTGCTACCTGAGACTCTGGGGCAGTGTTGCCACCTCCCTGCATGCTGGCTCCAGAGGGGACCAAGGGACCGTCACCAAAACCTTTTGGTCTCCAACCTGCTGTGAACATGGAGAGCCTCCTGGTTCTGGGGACCTATACCCAGGCCTGGCATTAGGCAGTTTGCAGGGGCTGAGGTTTTGACAATGACGGTCCCCTGCCCTGTCTCATCCTATGAAGTCTCCTTTTCCCTAGAGAGGGGAGGCCTGGGGCAGATGGAAGAGACCTTCCACAGTCTTCTCTGCCTTGCAAGAATTTTGGCAAGGTACTTAGCCACTCTGAACCTCAGTATCTTAATCTGTAAAATGGGGCCAACGCTATCCGCCTTGTAGGAGGATTGTTAGGATTCCATGAGAGAATGTATGCATGCTATATTCATGTTTGACTAAATATGAGGGGAGCTACAGGGGAGGGGTGAGGAGTTGTCTCAAGAAGTTGGGAGAGACTCCAAGGAGATGTTATGTGAGTTGGGATCTTGGATGAACCAAAGGTGACCGGGTGGAGGAGGGGAGCAGGGTGAGAATTCCTGGCGAGGACACAGCCTGGGCACAGGCAAGAGGATACAGAGAACAGTGGGGAGTGGAGAGTAATTTAATGGCCGGGGTTGCTCCTGTGGAGGTGGGTCAGGTTCAGCTCATGGACAGCCTTGAATACCAGCTGGAGCTTGGCCCTGGGGGCCTTGGGGAGATGCCTCTGATTCCTCTGTTCTTTCCTGGGCTGCAGGCCCAGGATACAACCAAGCAGGTCCCCTTGCCACCCCTGTACTCAGGTCAGAGTCCCACATGGCAGAACCAGCTTCCTGGAGAGGAAGTGTTGGCCGCTATGGCTTGTGTGTTCTGCTGGCAAGAGTGAACACCTCCAGGCTTCATCTGCCAGCTGAGGCCCCAGGGAGGGGCCGCCCTGGCCCCTCTGGCCCCTGGGGACTCTAGGAGGGCCAGTGGGCCCTTCATACCTTCCTTTCCATCTTCCCCCTCCTCTCTTCCTCCCTTTCTCCAGGGCCCAGTGCTGGGCATCGAGGTCTGGGGAAGTGGAGATAATTTGGCCAACGGCCCCTCCCTATGGCTCCCAGGCTTTCTGGGAGACAGACACGTCAACAGCCAGACACTGTCAGCATGAGGGAAGCCTGGGGGCTTACAGGAGCCCCAGGGAAGGACAGTCCCGGCTCTGCGTGGGATGGAAGCCCTACACAACTTGCCATGCCTTTATGCTCATTATCTCACTGAGCCCTTCCCACAGCATCGGGAGGCAGGGAGTGTCATTCCATTTCACAGAGAAGGAAGCCAAGGAGGGGTCATTTGCTCAGGATCACACAGCTTGGGGGCCACAAAGAGATTTTCATTGCAGTTCTAGAAATTCAGCTAGCACCTATCAATCCATCCATCCACCGTGCCAGGCACTGTGGCTGGGGGCACTTAGACAATTCCAGCCCATCCTGGGGTCTTGTGCACCTGGACTGGAGGTTCAAGAGGCAGAGGGAGCCCAGAAGAGGGTCCTAACAGGGGTGGATGTTTGGGGAAACTTTTTGAGTTGGAAGGTCAGGCGACTGACCTGGAAGTGTTTGAGGCCACAGGGGGATCCAGGGAGAGGGCAGAAGGGTGCTCAGGTTGTAGGATTTTTCCACCAGTGAGCAGCACTCATGTGGGCAGGAGAGAATCACCGAAAATTTGGAGATGGAAGCTGCCTTGGAGAGCCTCTAGCCAGACCTGTGCTTCAAACCTAGCTTCCTCAGAACCAGCAGCTAATCTAAAATACCCACACTGCGGGGGAGCCCAGGTTGGTGTATCTTACACAAAGCCTTTTTTTTTTTTTCGGTACGCGGGCCTCTCACTGCTGTGGCCTCTCCCGTTGCGGAGCACAGGCTCCGGACACGCAGGCTCAGTGGCCATGGCCCACGGGCCCAGCCGCTCCGCGGCATGTGGGATCTTCCCGGACCGGGGCACGAACCCGTGTCCCCTGCATCGGCAGGCGGACTCTCAACCACTGCGCCACCAGGGAAGCCCACACAAAGCTTTTTATGATGGAAAATTTCAAACATCGATGAAGTAAACAGAA